TCTAACCAGTGTTCTCTCGTTTCTGTCTGCAAAGAGGGTATCCCCGACTCCTGAAAGCTTTAAAGCAGTGATTCCCAACCTTGAGTGCCCAGATGTTATTGGACTACAACTCCCAGAAATCCTGGCCAGCACAGCTAGTGGTGAAGGCTACTGGGAGTTTTAGTCCAAGAATATCTGAGGACCCAAAGCAGGGAACCACACTCCTTTAAAGGCTGTAACTTCCCTATCGTGCTCTCTCAAAAGTGGTAAAGTTGTGGTAAACAACATCATTTCATTTTGTTGAATGTTTAAACTGGTCTTGCCGGATAGATATTGGAGATGGGGGTGGTAAAAGCATTGATGGAAGCCTCACCACCTCTTTGCATGCTAGAGAGACTATGTCCCCTGTCCATAAGCACCTTCTCGTTTACTCCGTGCTTTCTGCCCATGTTCCCAGATTCCTGCTGCCTCTGGGCAGGCCCCTGGCCATGCTAGTCAGAGCATTCTGGAAGCTGTACTCCAACAAGGACATCTCCCAAGCCCTGATTCTGTGCCTTCTGCCTTGATGCTGCCAAAGCTAAGGGGAGACTGCCACCTCAATTCATCAAGCACCTTCACTCTTTCCTTATACATTCCTCCTGTCAAAGCTCCTCCTGACAGTCCCACAGATTGTGTCAGCTGTCTTCTGGCTCACATAAAGTACAACTTGAATCTCTTTTAAGAAATGAGGATCTAGCGTATCATTTTTTGCTGGTTTCGAGGGCTTCTTTCTCCTCTCCCTATTCCACATCAATGCTTCATGGGACAAATCTCTGAGGTGCACTTCAGCTGTCCTACCCAATATCACCACAACATCTCTAACCTGTTGCTTAATTGAAGCCTCTTAAATTTTTATGACCGAATTGGCAGAAATGGCTGTTTCAGGGAACATTTCATCTTCTTTAACGTGCCTGCCTTTGGCGACATAACGAGCTCTGGAAGAAAGGGCTTCCGACCCCAGTAATGCCTTCCATAATGGTACAGAGTGAGCAATTCACACTGCATCGATCCCGGAGAATAGGATTTTGAGCAGAAGGCATTATCAGTGCCCTCCCTCCAGCTGCTATGTGTGTGTGTCTCTCACAAAGCCATGGCTCCCAAATGCTGGGAGGATTTCTCTCTGCTGCTTCTATTATGCAAGTGGTGCGGGCAGCTTTGCTTAGGCTTACGGGTGGTGGATGGAAGCTTCTGGGGGGGGGTGAGGTGGTCACTGTCTGGAGGGGTACTCTTCCTGTGCAGAACCTGTTGTTCTTTCTTCCACCCTCCCCTTACTATAAGTAATGAGGACAAGCTGTGCCAGAGATGGCAGAAAACAGCAGCCTCTCCCAGTGAGCCAACCGTAGCCTGGATGCTGATTGCTCCTATTTCAGTGTGTCCCCGTGCTGGCAAAGGCGGCAAGAAAGCCAGAAGCTGTGCAGTGTGATAAGGTTGTCAGGGAGCATGCTGGAGATGGAGAACACTTGCTCTAATAGCATTTATATTTCAATATGTATGTTTATGTGTTTTAAGAAACATCAGCCATAAATCACTTCGTAAATATTAATTCTAACCCTTGCATTGGTTAGAAGTAGGGGCTGCATTTGGAGATTTTAAAAAAACTTTTTCGACAACATGTCTTGGAAGACTTTGGTCAGCAAGATCAATGGCCATGTAGATGAGGGAGCCCAGGAGTGGTGGCTCACAAAAATAACTTTTCTAAGCTTTGGACTGTCTCATCATAGAGGTTTCACAGCAAGGAAAGTTCAGCAGGGGTTTACCACTGCCACCTTGACAGAGTAGTGGTAGTACAGGTATACAGCAGGGGGCGATAACCAGAAAAATCTTCCCTGAGATGATGAAGACGCCAAGCACCAGAGAAATGTTGATAGCAGATATTGTATTATTTACAGAATATACAGGTATATTTACAACTAAGTCTTTATTCTCAGTTCCACAGTAATGCACAACAGTTTCCACAGAGTTTAGTGCATATATCAGAGTCAATGTCCAGTAAATAAGTTCAGTAGTTGTATACCATATGTTCTATCCAACTAACCAGAGTTCCTCTTTAATACCAAGCACGTAGACACGGCTTCCTCCAGGATTCTCAGGCACAGGAACACGACGACTCTTCTCTACAAACACACCAACAACAAGCCACAGATTGTGTGTGCTTGTGCTGATAGTTTTATCCCAGTATTGTCCAATCCTATGATTGCACTCACAGCTGTAACAATCACCTCAGCTGTGTATATTCAAGCCTTGCTTCACTTTTACAATACCAATCCTGACAATACTTATTGTCATGTTACAAAACTTGATTTAACAATTCGATCCAGGTTTAGCCCAAACCTGTCACACTTTCTGTGCAGTGTCAGCAAAAGTGCACCCTTAGTGTCACTGCCATTGCCTCCTCCACCAGTGTCATCTTCAGCTATCACTGGTGCCCAGTAGCTGCCTTGAAGGGGGTGGATGCATCTTAGTTTGCATTGGGACTCCTGCATCTTCAGTGGGAGCTCCATCATGGTCTCCTCCTCCAAAGCTACTGAAGAGCAAGACCATCCACACTCTTGTGGATGACCATGTACAGGTGTAAAAACTGGACAGTAAAGAAAGATGAGAGAGAGAGAGAAATTGATTTGTTTGAAATACAGAGCTGGGGGACAGCTTTGTGGATACCCTGGACTACCAAAAATTGATTTGTTTGAAATACAGAGCTGGAGGACAGCTTTGTGGATACCGTGGACTACCAGAGAGACAAAGAAGCAGGCCCTAGAACAAATCTAGACCAAACTATTTCTGGAAGCAAAAATGTTGAAACAGAGGATGCTCTACTTTGGGCACATCATGAGAAGGCACAACTCTCAGGAAAAAAGCAATGATGCTGGGAAAAGTTGTAGGCAGCTGGAAAAGAGGAAACTCAAATAACAGATGGATTGATTCCCTAAATGAACCACAGGCTTGAGTTTGCAAGAGCAGAGCAGGGCTGTTGTGGACAGGAGATTGCTTATTCATACGGTCACCATAGGTTGGAGGTGACTTGACAGCACAGAACAACAAAGCTTTAGAAACAGAGTCGGGAAAATCCTCCATTTCCATTTACTCCTGCATTCAGATTTTCTAAAACTCAAGCTGGAGGTGGCTTGACAGCACAGAATAACAAAGCTTTGGAAACAGAGATGGGAAAAATCCTCCATTTCCATTTCCATTTTCTCCTGCATTCAGATTTTCTAAAACTCAAGTTCATTTTGCCTGGATGACAGGTTTGTAGATTTGATAAAATCCTTCAAGAAATGAACTGAGATTGAAAAACAGAGTGTAGTAGTTAGAATTTGTCCCAGTATCACACCATACCTATCTGCCATGCAGGTGTTAAAGATGAGGAGCCTCCGAGAAAGTACAATGTAGCACCAACATGGCTGAATACACTGTGATCCAACACCAGACATTATGAAAACTGCACACTCGAAACCCCTATTCTGGGCAAAAAAAAATCTGTCGAGTTTTTGTTTCTCTCACCCTCATCTTCCTAAAATCTCACATTCTTTCAATTCCAAATATAAAGAAAGGTGCACATTTTTAAAGTTCTGAACAAAAAAGATCAGACATTAAATTCTCACCCATCCTTGATCAGAGGCTCAGTCATGTCACAAAATTCTCTTTAATGTTATTTCTTCCATATGAACAACACTCATACTAGATGGTGTGAGACAGCCTGTGGGCAATTCAAACCTCACAGGTGAAAACACCTTTCCTGGACTGCTGTGTCTACATCAGAGACAGAGGATGGGCTTTTCCTGACAAAGAGTTCATGGTGCTTTAGTCCAAAAGCTAATATATATGTAAAAACAGATATATATAACTCTATAACTCTATAACTCTATAACTCTCTCTCTCTCTGCTCTTGGTGCTCCAAAAGCTAATATATATGTAAAAACATATAATATATATGTAAAAACATATATATGTATACAAACATGCAAAGTTTTTAAAAAGCATATAAAAACAAACACCAAACAGAAGCATTTAAGAAAAACATTTCAGTTTCTGCCTTCTGCAGTTGTTCTTGTAAAAACAGCATATGTATATATGTACACAGAGACATATATATTTCTTGAAGTGTGTGTGTAACATGTATATATACCGTACACACACACATACACACAAGATAGGTGTGTGTGTGTGTGTGTGTGTGTCATGTATATATACTGTACACACACACATACACACAAGATACACGTGTGTGTTTGTGTGTGTGTGTGTGTGTGTGTGTGTGCCAGTACAAAGCTCAGAGTGTCTTTCTGCATCCTCTGAGCACAATTTGTCTTAAAAGATCAATGTAAGGTTTCTCCACAAGCAGAAATAACTTGGCTGCCTCCCATAACAAAGCAAGGTAACCCTTCCCATCCTGGATGCCTCCTTCCTCTTGCTCTCTTATGCCTTTTCTGGAAAATCATCCTTCTCTCATTCTTCCTCACTTTTCTTCTCTCTCTTCACAGCCCTCCTCAAAGCCTTCCACGGATCACCTCAGCCTCACTCTTGTGTTTCCACCTATCATATGGTATTTATTCCCCTTTCCCAATCTTGCAGCAGATGTTAAATTTTCATGAACATGCCTGCAAAGATTTCCTTCACCCCGGTGAGAGATGTAACATTTCAACTCAGCAATTTTCACAGCAAACATAATTAGCCATAACTAGGAATGGAATCATCTTACCTGCCCTACTGGCAAATTTTAATATTAAAACATCCAGGCAGACAAAAGGGTAAATGGTCTGCCAGCCTGGTGATCTCAGTTACCTGAGACTTGAGAGTGACTCCCATTGTTAGCACTTTAAATTCATTTCAACATGCTATTTACAGACCTCAAGAAGTAGAGATGACTATGTGCCCACAGTAACTAGTTATAGGGTGCATAGGAACAGCTACTGACCCTTCTCCCTTCCTGGATTCAGAAGGAATATAGTAAGGAAGTCAAGAGCTGCGAGGAAACCAGGACTCACCCTTTGCTCTTGCGTGGCTACAAAAGTCTGGAACCCAGGTGCCACGCCAAACCCAAGCTCCTGAACAAACGGTGGCTCAGACTGACTGTGAATCTGCACTTTGACTCCAGCTTCAAAAGTTGTTTCATCTGCCAAGAGAAAGGGAAATGAAAATCAGATGGAGAGTACCTTTTCCTTTCAACAATCAAGGGGTCATGCATACTCTGAGTTAAATAATAATTACTATTAACATTATTACTAGGTTATAACACCAACATTTATGTCCAAAAAAAGCTGAATTTTGCAGACTTAAGAAGCAAATCAATTTGCAAGTAGCTGCATATTTTGTATAATATAGGAATGGGAAACTTGTATCCCTTCAGGTGTTGTTGGCCTGCAACCCCCATATTCTTCACAAGGTAGAGGATCTCCTGTTGGGCACATGAAAATGATACTTTGCTTACCCCTAGGGAGGACACAAACCCTGTGTAGTAACATGGGAAGATTATATCAACAGATGCACTACATTGAAAGAAACCAAAAATTCTAAATTCTGTGAGCCGGTATTATAGCTCCTGACATCTCCTGAGCCTCAGTATTACCTCTGGGGGATAATTTACAATTCTGCACTCTGTACCAATTTCTCGGCATGCACAGTGTGATTGTGGAATACACATAGCTCTGTCAATACCTTCTACAATCAATGTTTGCAACAAGAACAACAATAAAAATGCCTGATAGACAGGCATTCACAGTCTCCTACCAAAGTTGCTGATGCTAGAACTTGAAGACAAAGTAGGCATGGAGTGTTGTAAATGGGTAATTATAGACACAGCCATCATTGAGTGAGGTGATTGTTTAGACAGTCATATATATTCCTTCCTTAACTTCAAAATGTGGTCATCCATTCAGGAGTTCTCCTGTTCATTCTGTTAAGTGGAAACCTAAGGGCATGCCCCCAGATCCTGCCCCAGTCATACCACCGAATGAAAAGTCGGAGGCAGGCTATACCAGTGTTCCCCTTCATTCTTACTGTTTTAGATCTTCCTCTTACTAAGCTGTCTTTTGAGGGAAGAAATGAGGTAGAGGTTGCCTGATGTTATTGTTTCAAACTTTTGGGCTTGAATGTAACATTAGCCCTACCTAAGGTAGCCCAGCAAAATCAGTGGGACAAAGTAGTTGAGATTAACAGTTCCGCTCTAGGTAGGATTAACACTGAATTGAGATCTTTCATTGACTTTTCAAATTAAGGTGCAAAATCTGAAGGAAAGGTGAATGTGCATGCTATTTTTAAAACATAATTTGATATTATCTCATGGGCAATGATCTCTCAGATTTATGATGAAATATTGGTAAGTGCATCAAATAATCAACCTAACCATTGTCTTTTGGTCTTTAGCCACATCAGTGCTAGCCCTTACCTGAAAGTTATGGGTGATTAACTGTCAACAACCCCCCACCCACCCAAGTCTCTTTAGGGCATCAGCTACAGTGGACTTGAAATCTCGAAGGTGGGTCTGAACCAAATGATATCTGACAAGCAAAACCAGGTAACAATGCTGGTGGAATTCTGTGTACTGTTGTCTAGACTTCAAGTTGTGCTTTTTAGAAGGAATGTCTCCTCCTACTTCAATTCATTTTGGCTCACCTCCCAACCTGTATTTAGGAGCTTAGCTGTCACGCTGGGTCACAGATGGCAAGGATGTGCAAGCAGTTGTAACGTTTTTATTTCACACTCTAGATAAATTCTAGCTACGTGTTTGCAAAATGGCTTGATGAGATGGCACGTGTTGGGGGCGGGAGAGGAGGGGAGCTTCATTCCAAGTCCTCTGTGACCAGACTTCTTTTAAAAAGCTTTTATAGCTGTGGCACAGAGAACCGTCTCTTATACATAACCTTTTCAAGCTTTGCCTTTCTGTCTGAAAAGTACAAAAACAACTCAAAAAGAAATAGAATTTTTTAAATTTAATTTTTACAGAACTAAGGCCTCACTCCTTTACATAATGGCAGGTTGTCTCTATGGGTACAGCATTAGTTGCTTCCACAAATACACCGAGCAGGTGTGGTATTTCTTTTAAAATGGGTTTTCAGCCAATCAGCACACCACTTGGGTCAATAACAGGCTTTGGAAGTCTATGCTGTCAATTTTGCATTGTGGTTGATTCTTTTGCTACAGGTTTCACTCTGTATCCGTCTCTGACAGGCACAAACACACCCTTTGCTTGGGCTGGCAAAAAACCATGCCTGTTTAGAGATAAGTGGATTTAGCATTACAGCTTGCCATCATTATTTTTTCATGCCGTTATTATGACTCTTCAGCATGCAAACGTATAAATATTAAAACTTGTCTGTTAGCCAGCTGAGGAAAATAACGTTAAGAAATAAAGAAACAGCACAGAAGAAGTCAAAATGAAAGGAAAAGAACAAAAGTGGGATCAACTGATATAACTTCCAGTTCTTCATTTTGGAATGGTATATTGAGGCTTCAGTATGGTTTGTGGTGAGTCAAAGGTCTTTCAAGGGGCTTGTTAATGCATTAGAATCATGGGGAGGGATACCAAGGGTCATCTAGTCCTGCCATTCTCAACCATTATGATGCTGATGATGCTGATGATGATGCCACGGTCCTTTTAGGAGCTCTTCTCAAGTTCCAGGGCCCCCTGTCGAACAAGGAAAGCCTTCGGCTATGTGCAAACAAAGATACATCATCAACAGATTAATCTGTGGCCCCCTTCAAATGTGCCAGGGTCCTACAGGGGGTCATATGGCCCCTACTAAGAATGACTGAGTTGAACTCACTACTAGTGTAGGAAACTGATTCCGTGCATTTGCAGTGAGCTCTTGGCCACGTTGGGTCATGGTGGCACTGTGGGTTAAACCGCAGAAGCCTCTGTGATGCCAGGTCAGAAGACGAGCAGTCGTAAGATCAAATCCACGCGACGGAGTGAGCTCCCATCGTTTGTCCCAGCTCCTGCCAACCTAGCAGTTCGAAAGCATGCAAATGTGAATAGATAAATAGGTACCATCACGGTGGGAATGTAGTGGCGTTCCGTGTCTAGTCGCGCTGGCCACGTGACCACAGAAAGTGTCTACGGACAAAACACTGGCTCTAAGGCTTGGAAACGGGAATGAGCCCCGTGCCCTAGAGTTGGACACGACTGGACTGAATGTCAAGGGTAACCTTTACCTTTGCCACATTTCCTCCATGCTTTACCTTCATAACATTTCTCTGGGATATGTCAGGCTGAGCAAGAGTGAATGGTGCAATGGGTTTCACAGCTAAACCCCAACCTCAACCAATGTATTGGTTCCATGCAGAGCAGAAAAGTCTCTGTCCAGCATTTTAGCCATTATTTTCCCACTTAGTCCAGAAATAATTTTAAAAATGGAAGGATAAAATATGTACCGAGTGGCGTTATCCAACACCACTATAAAATTATCCCGCATCTCCAAACATTTTTGGGACAAGGGAGGGATTCTAGATCACACTGTAAAAGCTTGACCAGCAATGTCCTTCCATGTTAGATAACTTTGGGGAGGTTATTTAGGGAGACAGGCCACAAATCCATATCTTCTGAACAAAGAGGCCCACTGGCAAGCTCCTCTCACAAACACCGTGATTGTCCGGGACCATTCAAGCAAGAATTCCTTTCAAATATCAATAAACGTCACTGAAACAGCAAGAGATTTGGCCATTAATGCTTGAAAACCCTGCAAAACAGTTGAAGGAAGGGGAGTTTTCACTTACCACTGGCCCACTTACCACCACCCAACTGAGCTGAATGCTGAAAAGCAAGCCTCATGAAAACTCAACACACGGCATTATTTTTCATCATCTCAAATGCACCACACAATGAGTCCTTTTGTTTGCCTCCCGTTCAGGCTGTGCCGGTGTGGGATTTGAGTAAGTGTAACCATCGGTTTCTTCTTAGTCCTTCATGTCATAAGAAGGCTACTTCAATCTGTTTTAAAATCCTCTTTAGCAGCTCGTGCTTCGAGATTAGAGAAGTGCGCCTAAGAATATCTGAAGGGCTTGTTATCAACCGGATTGTCCTTTACGGCCATCCTTCTCCATTTGTAGAACCATTAGAGATGTCTTCCCTAAAACACGGTTTTGAGTATCTCTTTATTTTCCATGGTTTGAATTGGAAGCTGGTAATTGCAAATATACAGATAACCTCTGATTTCAATTGGCAAAGCTCCCATTTCAGCTGACGGCAAAATAGTCAGTGGAATTGCCTAATAATGAAATCAAAATAAAGGACTGCAGCTCATTAAAGAGCCCAAGAAGCACTGATATATGTGACAGTCTTCTCCAATGTCCCTCCTTCCGGATGTGCTGGGCTATAACACCATCACTCCTGGCCTGAAGAGCTAACTAAAAAGCTGATGTAAATGATTAAATCCAAGTCCAATAAAATATTGATGAGACTGTGAAGCATTCCCAGGACAGAGGACCTTTCTTTCCAGACAGGCCTAGGCTCCACAACCTCTTTTATGGAAAATAACGCATGGCAAGTAACCATTTCTATTACCTCCCTAGGAGACCAATTGGAGGTTTATTGATAAAGAAACCTGGATTGTGGCCAAGACAGGTGCCTATGCTACATGTACCGACAACATGGTGATGTGTGGGTGGCTAAGATCTTCCTTTCCTCACCCACCCACCTCCTTCACTTTGCTTCTATATTTGCAGCAGATGGGGAAATTATAGGTAAGGATTTCTTTGCTTCAAAAAGTAGTCTTCTGACTATGGGAAGAATGAAATTTTCCTTTACTTTTAAAAACAGCAACCCCTTCTCCCCAGCATAAATGCCTTTACATAATTCAGGACAGGGAGGTTGAACCTCCAACTGGAGCTGAAGCTGGTTTTGCTGGAAGGTAACAATCAAAAACAGATGTTAGGGTGGGAGGTTCAAGGATGCAATCAAGGAAAAGCATCACTGTGTTGCAATGGGAGGCTATATCACCTTTTTTCTCTCCTCATTGGCTCCAGACTAGCAAATGGTAGGCAAAGCCAGTCACCCATCTAGCCTTCACTCTCTCTACTTCAAGTCTCTTTGTACAGTGAAGCTGTGATTCCAAGCCCTCTGAGTAACAGGGAGCATTGCAAACTAAGTGCATTACACATGCTGACTATTTTTAGTGC